AAAAGATATATAGGTGAGGCAATGACAATCACGCATTTTTCATAAACACCTTCCAGCGGTGTGGAGAAATCAAAACGATGTTTTACCAGAAGTTACGACATTAAAGATGGCTACGCTTGTGCAGAAAAGCGAGCAAGGCGACTGGCCGCAGCTGTATGTCACTGCTCGTGCGGACAAGCCCGTGCAATTACAAGTTTCCCAAAACCGCGTTCACGCGCAAGCTGCAAGTGCTTGCACGAAATGGGGGACCAGTCAGGGTGCCATGCTCGCAATTGTCTATAGACCATTCCAGAAACGGGCTTCCAGTCGGTGCCATTTCCAAAGCTCGTGCGCATGGAGCGTGCTTCGCTCGCTTTCCGAAGCGGTGACTTTGCGCGTGCTGGGCTGTGATGTTCCCACGCTGACCTGTGATTTTGTAAACATTGAAGAGGTGTATACTCGGTGTTAACTAATTTGCTTTAGACTCTGAAGGCTTCCACGGTGCTCTGAAGGCAAAACACAAAATCACGCGTCCTCGCAGCAGTGCGCGATTGCTGCACAGTAGAAGCTGCTCTAGCCTTGACAATGTAGCAGAAAATATATGACGCACAGAGTCTAATGCTGCCAAAGCCTATTCACGCTACAGCGTGTGCGAATGACAGAAGACAATGCAGAGCTGTTGCTATTCTACGAATTCGCGCGGAATACCATCTTCACATTTCCAATGAATTTATCTCTCTCTTTATCTTTCTCTCTCTCTTTCTCTGTGTGTCCTCCAAGCTCACACACACGCAGGGTGTGTCACCAACAAATGAGAATAATTTATTAAGAAAATTGCGGGACGATCACACGACGTAAGGCGTTTACACAGCGACAGCTGTGCTGCTTATTCGACGAAATGACAATGACGATCGATTAACATGGCGCCGATGGTGCGTCATACTGGGATATGATTTTGAAAGGACGTTTCGTTGATTTAGCGTCGACACGTTGCTCATGAATGAAATATTTTAAGGTCGTGATGTGTTTTCTCGCCAAATTTAGCGGAGAAAACTGAAATGGTGCACAGGTCACGTAACGTCAATTTTTACGCTAAATTTAGTGGGGAAACTGACGGCGTTTACGCCGACGCCGTCGAAAAACAGGGGAACGAGCCACAAACAGTTGCGGCTGTAAAAGAAAAAGAGCAGTTGAAATAAGAAAATTATTTTTTTCGGGATAACGTTATCGATCATGGTAGACGTCAGGTTACGAGTGTGCAGTGATAATTAGTGAAATAATTACCTAAAGTCTACTCATTATGAAATACCTGCCTTAGCTTGCACGGTCCAATTGAAAATCACCTGCATGTCGTCAACATATGACACAGCAGTCGGAATTCAGACAACTGCATTCTGCCCCGCTCAACTCTGGCGAAAACAGGTTTTGCGCATGGCTCATCCCTGCACATAATGCTTATAAAAAAAAGTTGGAAAAAAATGAGTAGGTTGCGTTTGAAGGGTGTGCGGGTATTTATAAACGAACAAATAACAAAATGTGCGTACAGGTATATCTTAATTCCTCAACTAAAGGGCAAATTTAGATATGATCCGCGTGGAGCCCAACTTTTTGTTTTTATTATGGTCCTTGAGGTGAAGAAAAAGATAGCTGGTGTTCTATTTCGATAATTTCACTGGGTGACCTGCCACCTCGGCATTCACCAAGTTCCGTTTTCCTTTCTTTCTTTCTTTTTTTTTAATAATAATAATTGCTTTATTTATCATACAAGTGTGGTGGAAGCTGAGGACAAAAGCTGTACAAGCAGCTTCAGCATTGGCGAAATCATTCACAAGAATTTATATAACACAAAGTACTTAACAACAAAACACAAGCAGAAGAAAACAAACGGAAGCAATAATCAGCTAGCTCATGAACAGCAGTAACAATCGCTTAATTTGAAAGGAAATTGCCCTTAAACTCACATATGTTGCAAGATTTTATATCCAAATTGGAGCCCATAAAGATGTTCAATAATGTTGGCAAGATTGTTTTAACCATTTGGAGGTCTTAATCTGTTCGTGATGTTTCTACTGCCAAAACATCCGAGTGACGGAGAGCGTGAACAACCTCGTTCTAAAATAGTGTTTTTTTTTTTGTTTTTTTTTTTTTTGTTGTTGTTTTATTTAGCACGCGGCTGAGCTGCGGAAAAGTGAGGCACGCAGGATCGCGACGTCTACCCCACAAGTGTCGCTTCTCCACTATGCATTACCAGGCGCCGAGAAGCGCACTCAACGGAACGAACCAACCCGCCCGAACAGACCAGGAATAATGATAAATATAATATTGCGGAACGGTCCAAGTTGCTGCATTCGGCACGGGTTATACCGATACCAAACCAGGAGTGGAACCGCACATGGCCGCGGCGTACAACAACCGGACAGCGCGCTGGCGTGTCTGTTATATCGCGCTATACTGTCACGTGCGGTTCTGGGCCACTATCTCATCACTGATATCATGCAAGTTCAGTCTTTTTTTTTTTTTTTTTTTTTTTTTTTGTGCGAAGATTAATTTAAACAGTGCTTCATTCGAAGTGATAATCAAATGTTTTGGAAATTCGCACACGCCTACCGTGATAATTCGGCAGAATGCCCGAGCTGTTAGGTACTACTGAGAAAGTGAAATTAACTTTTGGTGCAATGTTGGTGCAAATTCCTCGCGTTTTGGTGAAACGTGAAGCAGGGTGTTAAACGGCGAACGCTTTGGCATAGCAAACACGTCCCTGAATACCTGTGGGCACGCTACCCCGGGAGCGCACCAGCTTGTGAAACACCAGCGCAAATACAATAGGGGACACAATAAGGAACTCCTCTTCAAATGTCCCCAACATGACTGCGAAGCCTCACGGAGAGAAAGAAAGAAAACAAGGCTTTAGTGTTTTTCTTACTTCAAAAATAAACTTCGCATCGCCGAACATTCAATCTCCGCGGTTCGATCTACCTGACAATGTTAAGTTTTGCCGTTATCTGAGTTATAAGCGATCTTAGAACATTTTCAGCGAGAAAATGGTGGTTGATCCCCATTGACTCCTTGAAAAATTACTAAAACCGCTTATAGCATTTGAATTAGGTAAGGCAAGTTCTGAAACATTGGCACCTTGTCCGGGCTGTTAGCAATACATTTGGGCAGAAACTGAACGTTGGGCGATGCTTCCTTTAACTTTAGCGGTAAAAGAACACAATAGTTAATTTTTCCCCTATGCACCCTGCAGTTGCCTGCACTACAGTCATCGATGCAGTAACAAAAAGAATAATCGCAGGCACAACCTCAAGCGCAGAAAGCACGTGGGTAAAAAAAAAAAAAACGTATACTCTTGCTTCCATTGAAATTTAACCTGCCACTCCAATGGCTTTTAAGGACCAAATTCTTCAGAACCAGTGGAAAGATTGTGATGGCAAAGACGGGGGTGACCCACCGGTTGATTCCAGGGGCAGTGCCAAGGGCACTCAACTTGGAGATAGGTGATGAAAATTGCACAAAGACCCAGAGAGGCGGCTCTTCCTAAGAGCTCTGGCCCGAAGCCAGCAGTTTTCCAAGCCGTTTCAGGATACCAGGTCAGCGGCGGCATCTGGAATTGCTCTGTTTACTGACAGAACCATCCAGACTGAAGGTTCTGGCGAGTTAGTGAACAAAGTGAACAAGTCAACTTGTCAGGTCCGGATTCTGAAAATATGGTGTACGGCTTTCGCTGAATCGGGACATGAACTACCCTTGTGGTATCTAGCCAGGATGAAGAACCTCGAGGCCCTTCACTTTTTCCACTTTAGCAGAGCAAACGCTGGAGAAGTGGCGAGTCCATTGACCTCCTCTCCAGTGTTCACTCTGCTAAAGTGTAAGGAATGGAGGGCTTTGAGGGAGGAGCTTGTTCTGCTTTTTTCTTAACCTGCAAAAAGTATAAACCAAATACTTGTATGCAATCAATTTTTTCCAGAACATGCTTGGCTGTAAACATCAAAGCGTACCCTGGAATACTAGGTGTCATATAATTTGTACTAAGGCCAGTGGATTACATTGTACATTTGTTAAAAAAAAAACACGTCTTTCACAATTCATTAATGCAGGTAGATAAAGATTTAACTTTGTCAAATAAAATCTGTGTGTTCTACGTGCCAAACCAGCAAAGGGGACCTGGCGTGCCCCAGTGAAGGGCTCAGGATTAATTATGACCACCCAGGGATCTTTTGATATGCAACCAAAACCTCGGTAACATGGTGCCTTCTCCCCAAAACATATTCCGTCAGGTTGCTGTCACCTCAACAGAAGTAATTCAGTCAACAGACTTTGCAAAGCAAAGGATAATGGAACAATATTAGTTTCCTATTGTATTTTGTTCATAAACTCTATCAAGAACCCAGGCTTTTACAATTTCAAAAATATTCTTTTTTGTCTTTGTTGTTAGACTCTTTAAGCACCTTGACTGTGATAAAAGAAAACAAACATATGCAAGCTTGTTCCCTAAACATTCTTTCCTCACCCAAAAGTGTTTTTTATTTGCACTCCGGCATAGAAAACATGATGCATTACACTGCAAACAAATGGTGCCTGCATCCATTGAGAAAGTGGTTAATGTTAACAAAGGAATACTAAAATCAATAAGGTTGGAAACCAAATCTACAACAAATATTTACCATACTGCTATTTTTCTTCGTGTGGAAGTAATTTATTTAGCAGTGTGTTTTTATGTTGCAATACCCTCTAAAAACTGAGCAGCCTACTAAATGACAACAGATACACTGAATTTCTGTTTCCCGCTGCCTATGTTAGAGCGAAAATGCAAAACTTATTTGGATGACAACATGGCTAAATATTAGTAAGCTCCACTGGAATTTATTTTTTTTACATTAAGAATACCAAAGGAACATTGGGAAAACATAATTATTTTATTTAATCCGCAACTGCTGACGCATATGCAAAGGATCTCTGTTAAAAAAAAAGTTGGCGCAATGATGCCATATATTTTCTCACAGAGTTCTCAAAAGGCACAGCAGCAATAGGTGTCATATACACCCCAACCTTATCCACTTTTATTGATCCTAAAACAGTTTATCATATAATTCTTAATAGAACTGCACAAGCCTCACAACGAAATGCACACATCAGCCAAGGATGAAGTCTGTCACGAGCTTGTTGAAGTCGTCCGGAAACTTCAGGTGGAGATTGTGTTTTCCTTCTGGTATAACGCACAACCTGCAAACGAAACAAACGAAAGCCATGAATTTATTTTATTTGGTTCCACGAAAAACAAGAAATAGCTGCAAAATCGTTGCTCTAAATAATCCAACTAGTACAATCTATGCTAACACTTGTTTAGCCTCCAGAGTACACGCATTGAAATACTCAGCCTTTTCTAGAACAAGGGCCCACCAACGATGCTTGATATCAGGTCTGGCCTATTATTACTTTATTTATGTCCATGCTGTTATCAAAAGGCTCAGCAATAATTCTAAAGCGACTAGAATATAATTAAAGACAACCCAGTGAAGTGCAAGATGGGTCATCTGAAAGATTTATTTTTTGCACTGGGGTGCAAGAGGTGGAAATGTGAACGTACCAAGATCAATTAGGCAAGCAGAGAGGAAGGAACATAATTTGTATTTCCAGAGACATGAAAACAAAAAATGGAATCGACGGCATTAAAACCGTGTTGACATAGAGGGGGCGAAACCCTACACGACATTCTGAGCTCGGCATTTCTGACATGTCTATCTAGCTCTGCTTGTGACCGCATTCAGCATCCTTCAAGGATTAGAAATCCAGTCGTACCCCAAGCAGACACGCACTTTCATCAGTTGCTAGCTGAGTTCAGTTGGAGGCTTGCAGTTCTACTTACTTCTTGGCAGTATGGTCCACTCTCAAGGGAATTCGCTAACTGCTGCTGGTTCAACAGCAACTGAGGGTGCCCATTCTAGAGCACTGCACGGGCCCGGGCCAGCCCGAAAGCCCGAGCCCGGCCCGGCCCGCGGGCCGGGCTCGGGCCGGGTTGCACGTATTTTCTCGGGCCCGGGCCGGGCTCGGGCTTGAACAAAAAGGTTCTCGGGCCGCGCCGGCCCGGACCGGCCCGGGCCGTGCCTGGGCAATCTTGTGCCGTAAATCATAAATTGTTGTTGATAGCAAGAAGTTTGCTCATTAACCTTTTAGGCTCATTGAATACAAAAAAAAAAAAGCGAAGTGCAAATTCACTACAGCGTCGTTAAAAATAATAACTAAAATACGTCTTGAAGCTAGAAAGCCTTCAAGCTTTTTCCGTGTGAGCGAGGGTTCAGTGTTATAAATTGTAAACAAAATAAAGTCCCTGTCATATGCTTGTCAACCCGTCTGATTCATCGCTTTCAAAAATATCTAGTTCACTATTAGGAAGATTTAAAAAAACGTACGCAAGCGCTTTGGGTACCGTAAAAATAGCGTTGCGATGTAAAAGCTATGGCGATGCTAACTTTAGCTTGCCCAAAGTGCTTGAGTACGTTATTCTAAGACTCCCTTATTGCACAGAGCGCGACACTATATTAGCGCGAACAAGTGATCGTCGTGTTTTTATGTTTATCTCATAGAATGAAAACGCTGTTTTCATAATTATTAGTGTCTTTAGAAGTGTTCATCTGGGCCACAGACCTAAGCGGTATACTTTGGTGCCTACTAACACCATTTCGAAGTAAAATTCGAAAAAATAGCCAACGTCGTGTTCGCGGTATCAGTGTCGCGCAGTGTACATAGTCCGTTCCGCGCTTGCACGTTTTGGGAACCATCTTGAAAAAAACGTTTTAAGGGGTTAAGTAGGAATATATTAAACTTAAGCTTGCCTGAAAGGGTTGTATATTTTAAGAACACGTTGACATGTAAAGCTACTTCAGAACATATTCTTAAACAGAAAAGGTGCGCAGACCAGGCTTAGAACGATGGAGACTTTTTGCGAAGAGGTTGCGATGGTGCAGGGCCTTATAAAAGTAGGTTGAAACGGGACGCGTTCAAACGCAAAAGGTGTTTCGGAAACTGGTTCAAATAAGAAGGGCGTTTAGGGAATGGGTCGAAACAGGACAAATTCAAGCGAGAAGGGCGTTTAGGGAACTGGTCGAAACGGGACGGGTTCATATGGGAAGGGCGTTTAAAGAATGGGTCGAAACAGGACGGGTTCAAATGGGGAGCTCGTTTCGGTAACGGGTCGAAACGGGACGGGTTCAAACGGGAATGGGTTGTTTCGGGCTACAGCCATCGGGCCAAGTCGGGCGGGGCCTAGAAATTAAAAATTTTGTCGGGCTCGGGCCGGGCCCGGGCCGTGTCTCTTCCGGGCCGGGTCGGGCCAGGCCAAGAAATTAAAAATTCTGTCGGGCTCGGGCCGGGTCCGGGCCGTGTCTCTACCGGGCCGGGTCGGGCCGGGCCTAGAAATTCCGGCCCGTGCAGTGCTCTAGCCCATTCATCTAAGATATTGGCAGATTGTCCAGTGTGTCTACCAAACTGCTTATCTTAGATCTCCTAATTTTTCCAATTTTTCTTTGAATATTTCGATTAACCTTCCCGACTACTAGAAAATAAATAAATGTTGAGGATGGGCTTGCAGCGGCTCTTTGGGCTGTACCTCTTTGATCTGGTGAATCAGGTGGTGACTTATGTTGCCTGGCGATGCTTCGGACAACTGTTACTAAGCGTGACGGCCATCCACACCACACCCTCCCCTTCCGCAGCGAGTTACTGCGCCACCCACGTCGGTCACTTTCCCTGAATAAACCAATCTCCTGACGATTTTCCCAGCGATTCCTTGACTTTTCCAGATGCTTTAAAATTCCCTGACAATTCCTGGTTTTCCAGCTTGGTAGACACCCTGCTGTCTAAACGCAGAGAAGGGGGCTCACTTGGATAGGGCAATGTGGCGGAGCAAGTAGGCAGGATGTTCCGGCGTCACAAGGGGGTCTTTTCCTCCATGCACGATGAGGGTTGGGCAGCGAATTTTAGCTAGCTCGGCTCTGCACACGTCTCCACCCTGGTTGTGCAGCAGACGCTTGTAGAAGTCGCAGTAGTCCCACCAGAGTTTTTGAAAGCGCTCGGGTCCGTAGAGGGCCTCCATTGGCTCCCGCATACGTTTGCTCCACTGCTCCACATTCCTGGTGGCTGTGTGAGAGAGAGCGTGTCGGTGATTGTACAGTCTGCTCGACCTTGACCTAGTTCAAGCAGAGCTCACAAACTGTAGCCAAAGTTTAAAAACGTTACACCTTGGCTGGAGTCTTGGCTTAGGTGGTTGCCACCAGTTGTTGTGTGCTTTATTTTGTGAAAAAATATTTGGCCAAAACATTCTGGAAAAAAAAACTGAACAGACTACTGAGCCCCCTAACAAAATGGCATAATTGACACCAGAAAACACCTAACCCGTGAGAAAGTACAAAAACCTCTAAAAAACACCCTCAAAGTTGAAGATTAAACCCCGAATACATGAAACCCTACCGTAAGACACTGGGAGCCGCCCACCACACTTTCATTGAAAACTGCGTTTACCTAGACACGGGCACTTGTTCAGTTAAATCGGGCAATTAATGTATAAGTTGCAGAATTTCAAAGTTTGAGAAATGTTAGTAGTGGGAGCTTGAACAAAGTGGGCACTTCGGGGTATTTTACGGCAGTTATAATCCACGCTCAACAGCAACAGACTTTTGAACCATGTCAGTCGAGGACACCCTAATATACAGTAGGAAATTCAAAACGACCTTACCTTCCAATAACTGCACATCGATGTCTTCAATGTAAGAATTCCCTCCAAAAGCGACGAGCTTTTCAATGCGCTCGGGGTACGTGGCTGCAAGGATCATTCCTGTGTTGGCTCCGTCACTCCAACCCAGCACGTTGTATTTCTTGTGGCCCAGTTGCTGTGGGGGAATACCAGAAATACCGGATGTGAGCAAAAACCAGCAACGAAAGGTGAAACTGCGCCCCCATAACGATAAATGCGAGACCTGGAAACATACATAAAAAGAGTTGACGGTGCAAATAAATGTGAAGCTGTTGTGTGTGAATGTCTTTTATTTTTACTTTTTTAGCATTCTTTAAACATTTTAACATCTTTAGCATCAGAACAAAGCGTGTGGGAACACAGTGGCGACTAATGTTAAAGAGTCACAGTCAAGGAGAAAAGGTGGTGAAGTAAGGCTGAATTCAGAAAGAAAGAACAACGCTAAACAATATGCTAGGCAGCCTCCCAAGACTGCCCTCCCGATGTTACCTCTTCAGTGAAAACGGAGTAGTGATTCCCACAGTTTCAATAAAGAGAGCAACGTCAACTTCATTAAACATCGGACAAATAGTTTAACGCACGGTGCACCAAACATTATGAGCAAAAGAGCCTCGGTCACCGTTGGGTACCCCCGAGGGTGACCAAAACAGCTGCTGGGTCAGCTCTCCTTTTTGTCCAATGGCGTCTCTTGGTTTCAGTCATCGTTGGGGGCGTGTCCCTCCACACTTCTGGCTTCACCGCTGGTGGAGTCATGTTGACTACAAAAGCTCAGGGGTGGAAGCGGGCTAGAGCCTTTTGTATCAGGGCTGGGAGCAGCAAAAGTCCCACTTTGGAGCAGTTTTGGAGCAGTAAAACGCTCGCTTTAGAGCAGCTCGGGAGCAGCAAAAATAAGTTTTGTAGCCGTCGAAGTAGGTTTTGCAGCAGGTCACGGAGGTCAAACAAATGTCTAAAAGTGATTTGTTGTTTCTAAATGTGAAAATGTAGCAAAAATATATGCATGCACATCCCAGAATAATTTTCAAGCAACATACATACACACATTTCTATTTCTATTGCATTGAAATATGGAATATTGGCAATTTATGCAAAGGAAAGGCTTTGAGAACCATTCCGGCAGCAGGCAGAGTCATGATAGACTTTATATGGGAGGCCCCGACAATAAAAGCCTAGCTTGAGCCACGCCAGTACAAAACCGTCTACTTAATAGACCAATTGTAAACATGTATCCATAAAACTAAACCACTGCAAGGTGTCAGATAAACTACCTTCGCTGACTACAGTTTTTGTTTAATAAAGAATACACATGTTCAATCACTATTTAAAAAGCCCTATATCAAGTTTAGTAACAAAATACAAGGCTACTGACATTTGACAAAAATTCAGATGCAAAATAAAATGTGTATTTTTTATCTTTAGACTACCACAGTCACTCGTACATATGCAGCTTTAAGCATCGACTAGAAGAGCAACGCAACCTTATGTACTCCATAAAATGCTGTGTATTGCGTGTCTCCATAAAAAAATTAAGGTACCACAACATGTCTCAGAATAAAGCAGTCCTTGCTGACCTGTTTTCATTAAATACAAATGTTCTTAATCCCTGTTCATAAAATACAGTAATCCCTACACCCAAGTTAACATACAAAGCTATATCTATATTACTTTGGATGGAAAAATATATTGTCTTAAAGATATCACAGCCACTAATACATATGCAGCATAAACACTGACTAGAAGAGCCCACAGGCTCCATGTTCAAAAAAAAGGGGTTGTGACTAAGCTGAATCTGTGTAATTTAGGAACAACTGAAGTTCACCTTTTTTTTCACAGTTTGAAGAGCAGAGTCAATTTCTTTTATGCGCTCGAGTACTCTGGGCAGTTTAGAGTTCACATCTCTTAGCAGGAGGTGTCCACTCCCCACATTGTCCATGTCCTTAACTGCCTCACCCTTGCTTATGAGTTCTTGTGCACTCAGTAGAAGTGCTTTAAGAGAAGACAGTTTGAACGAGACTGAAAATGAAATGTAGCTGATCAGGCGCTGATCCCTGCGGGGCAGGCTGCCTTCTTACGTGACAAAAAGCCCACCAACTTCTCTCTACCCTACCCTACCCAACCCAACCCCCCCCCCCCAACCAGATACACCTATACCCGAAACTTATACGAGTAGGGTGGCTATAGCAAGTTAAGGTACGTTCTTGACAGGAATCGGCAGCGCGGGAGTGTTGTACGGCATTTCTGATGTCACCCCCACTCCTCCACGCTAAAGGAAAGAAACAAAAAAGTGTGTAGCACTGCCAATTAACCAACTCGCTTAAGATCGCGGGTATTGTTTTCGCTAGTGGTCTGACGGCGGGAGACACCGCACGACAGCGTGCACATTCGCGCACACAATGATGGTTTTGGTTTCGTTTTGATAAGAAAAATTGAGCTCGAAAACGGATGTGCCTGTGCTCGCGATTCTTCACGGCTAAGCGTCCAAATATGGTAGGCTACCAAATAACAGGTAAAGCTAGTAAAGACCACTTACTTCTGCTCATGTTAATGGCCAAGGTAGCCCACCGGTGCCGAGGCACCAACTCCCACGATCACGGCAAATCGGGACCACGGGCAACTGCATGCGCGCTCCAACCGCGCCAACCAAACTATGCCCGAAACCAAACCGATGTGTTTGTATATCAAGCTCTTTGTAGTAAAAAACGACATCGCACTCTCGATCAACTAAAATCGGCGCCTCGCCCTGAGGTTAGACATGGTTTGGAGCCCCAGTCGAGTTGGTACGAGTCACCCGCAGTGACACCTAAGCAAAAGTACCCACCACATGGAGGCACGTGTCCAACCGTTTTTCGCTAAATTTAGAGAAAACACTAAAAAAAAAAAAAAAAAGTTGAAATTGGCGTTTTGGAGCAGGCTGGCGCAGGGAAGTGAATTGGCGCAGGGTGGCGCAATTGGCGCAGCGCTTCCACCCCTGAAAGCTTCCTACCTCCATGGTCACGGGACACATCTATGTATCATAAATCAGTCCAACTGCATGTACTATCGCGGACAATATGAGCTGAAACAGCACTCCGGCCTGTGCACGATACTACCTGCGCCGCCTGTCGAATCGCTCCACAAAAACGGGGCACCCTGAGGCCGAGATAAATTATCACTTCCACTCCCTGCGCCACTGCGCCCTTCCGGCCATCTGCTAGCGAAAATATTGGTTGACAAAACCATCATCATGATGCGTGTGCCGTGCAGCCCAATGTTCATGTTTCCAGCTAACATGCATTTCAGTGCATTTCAAGAAAGCACCGAAGTGAAAAATGCATTGTCACGCTCGTATCTTCTCGAGTAGTGCTGCCTGACGGAGCTACCTTGGCCCCCGAAAGGCGCCGATCTGAATATCATCAAACATGTTTAGAGGCGCATCAAGGTAGCCCTGTCACTGCGTCCCCTCTACAGCACCACTACCGACGAAATGTGGGAAGCGGTGAGACGTGAATGGGGAGGCTTTGGGCCGAGCCAGACTTCGTGGCCGCGCTCTATGATTCACAGAGGATGACAGCCGTGGTCACGGGCTAGGGGAAAATGATGCGGTATTAACTTCTTTCGTAAGTTTTACTGCGCCTCAGGACCCCTGAACCGGACTTCTGGTGATTGGAACAAAGCTTGCTAATATGGTTGCGACACACTGTTTGACACCGTTAACCAGTGCATACCTTTGTGTCGGGCATCTATGATCCTAATCTTCTTGCATAATCCAGTTGAACTTCCTTGGCCGACTACTAATCTCTCGTGTCTGACATTGACCTCTGCGAATATTCTTTCGATGATGTTTCAAGCTCCTTCACCTGGCAAATATATGACTGTTTGTCACACTTTATTAAGACTAGGAATTCATAAATAAAACACCGGTGTGTTGTCAGCAACTTGTTTGTTTAAAACAAACACGTGGGCCCAGTAATAAAGAATTCATATTTTTGAAGCTTTTTATACCCATCAAGGTTACAAAACCTTCGCAGTAACATGTGTGGTTACCGTTTTTTTTTTTTTTTAGACAACTGTACTTAATGAAAAAGAAAAAAAAAAGTAAACACCTTGGAGCCGGCCTAAATCTGGTATACAGATTTTGGCCTATATTTTACGATGTCCTACTTTCTGCATGCACTTAATAAAACAAAAACAACCTACAATGTCTTTTGATGTGCCCTTCAAAAACGATAATCGCAGTTGCAATTTAAGATACCTCAAGATTTTTTCTTCACCAGGAAGCGTTTTTTCTACGTAATTCTATGCGATAGAATGCAATAAAACAATTGCAAAATAGGGACAACTGTAACCTTCTGTCCTTCCCCCCTTTCCGCCCTATCGCGCACACGCCCGCTGTCGCACACACGGTCTCGCTAACAAATGGCCAGAAGAGCGCAGTGGCGCAGTGACCGCAAGAGGTAATTTATCTCGGCCTCAGCGTGTGTGAAGCAAGGCGACAGGCGGCGCAGGTAGTACCGTGCGCCGGCCGAAGCGCTGTTTCAGCTCATATTGTCTGCGATAGTACATGCGTAGCACAAGGCTGCCAAGACTGTGAGCTTTTTTTCTTCAACTCTAGAACTCTTGTCGCCTTAGGGACACAGGAGGGGAAGGGGGGCATGCTTGCCAGAGAGCCATAAACCACACCTGGACCCACAAAGAGCAACAGGTTGGTCACCCCTGCTCTTAAACTCTCTTACGAGAGAACACACTGGTATGCTGGCACAAGGTACAAGGTGATGCTAGAACTGCATTTCACTAGTAGAGCGAAGGTTTTCCGGTATCTGCGAGGTCAAATGTACATACCGTAAAATACCGCAGAAGTGCCCACTTTGTTCAAGCACCCACCATTAACATTCCCCAAACTTGGGAATTTTGCAGATCATACACCAAGTGCCCGACCTTGCCGGACAAGTGCCCTTGTCTCGAGCAGCCCAGTTTCAGTAAAAGTGGCGCTTCCAGGTATTTTACGTGCTACTTATGAGAAATGTTCATTTATAGCATTGCAAAGTGTTCCACAGCCACCCAATAGCTGGAGTTGGCGTCGTAAGCGATTTTAAAGGGACACTGACACTCTCCCAGGAAATGTTTTTATCTTTTGCCAGGCAATCCTTTATGCTGTCAGAAGACTACCCCATCAATATTTTGCTACAGTGTCACATACATTTTTAATAAAGTAAAAAAACACAACTGCTCAAAACCGAAACCAAAACTCGACTGGGGAGGAAGAAGAAATAGTATAGAGGAGATAGTTACCAGAAGTCACGTGACTGTGCAACTTTTCTTTTTTTTTTTTTTTTTTCAATCAACGTATTTGCAGTGTTTTTACAAACTACAAAAAATTGGTATAATATTTTTTGTCTATTAGCTTTGAGCGTGTGTCTTTGATGACCCACGGCAGTGATTATCATTGGTGGTTGTGTCCAAACTACAGAAAATGGCACATGACCACAGAGAAGAGAGTGAGCGCGACTCAAACCGGCCAGTTCTCAATCGGCGGTTTTCGGGAGGAAAGAAAACGAATTTCAAACAGCAAATTGTGTTCTGGGTGGTTGGGCTCTCATTTGTCATGTAGAAATAAAAACCTTGATGAGCATAAATACCCTGTTGGTGTCCCTTTGAGAGGTTTCCAGGCACACAGTGCCATTAAGTCGCAAGTGGACTTCATATTCGTAAAAGAGTATTAGCCTGCCTGTTAAGTAACGAAGGATTTTGTTAGAAATAAGTAAGATTTGTTTTAGAAAAGCCTATCTTTCTACAATTGCGTCGGCATCGTTTTTTTATCTGCCTGTGTTTGTGTCCACATTTTTGGGCGTTTGCTCGCAGACCCGCGGCAGGGGGTGAGAGCGTGAACGGGGAGTCGTCTTGTTCCCTCAAGCGCGGGGGGCTTCGAGCAGCCGCAGGGCTCGGTAGAGAAGAGTCAGACCCCGGTCGTTAACAAACGGATTAGGTTTCAGTTGGGGCGCCGGAACACCCCTGTCTTGGGCTTCTGTCCGCACTTGTGGCTTTTAAGCGGGTGTGCTTGCGTCCGGCGTATTTCGCCGCTTAGTGTAGAAAACTTCGCATTTAGTCGACGCAATAACTTAACTTGGTGGCGCCAGCCAGACGGCTGAGAAAGCATGTGGTTACTCTACAGAGAATTTGGGTTTGACCATTGAAGTGTCGGAGGGGGGTCACGTTGACAGCTCGCTGATCATTGGTTAAGAGTGTACCACGTGACAATGGGCAAATTTGAAGTGATTGGCTTGTCTCTGGAGGGAAAAGAGGCCCCTAGGAGTCCAGAAAAGGGCTGCCGAGAGGATTCTCAGAGATTCGGCGTATGAGATCAGGCAGATTCGGCTCTTGAGACTGGGAACTAAAGTATAGGTTTTAATTTTGGGAGTTCTGTAAATTATTGCTGACTTGTTGTCGTTTTGTTTTGAAAATAAACGTAGCCACACTGGTTATCGTAAACCAACCATGTCGTTATGTGTCCAGCAGGAGCGAACAACTGTTAGTATTTTTTTTATTATCAACTTCCCGGGAAACTTGCATCGGGCGAACATCATCATTGCTCGTCACCATCCTGACTGGCCCCCTCTGCCCTCCCTTGGAAAGTTGACTCTGCCTAAAACCAGTTATGGGCACATTACTGCTAAAATGTAATGGAGTTAAAGTTACAGTTACTCAGAGAAAAAATGGAAGCCTGCTACAGTTACAAAATTGAAAGAGTAACTTGTTACAGTTACTTCGCTAAAGTAATGCTGTTACTTCCTCGTTAATTTACAAAAAAATATTAGAAGACATTCAAAAGGAAACGTCCTTAACATGCCTTTAAATTAGCATGGATTTTTCGTAAGACATTGTGTTGCTCACGGTAGTGAATCGGATTTTTCGAGAAAGTAATATCTTTCCCAATAATCAATATTAACCTGCTTGGTTCTTCCTATTTCAATTTTTACCACAAGTAGCTCCCTGAACAGGATCATAATTTAACAGTAATTGGGTAAATCCACTACTGTGGAATATAATACATCCGCCCATTCCACACAAAGCCCCAATTCCAAATTTGTAAGATCTGAAAAAATATGCAGAGTAAATTTATATGTAAAATTGATGACCAAACAAGCGGCCATCCCCCATTTTTTCGCGATTATCTCCAAACTTTGAGTGGGCACTTTCCCACTAGAGCTTGCAGATACCTGGTGATGATCCATGAAGAACTTTAAAATAAGCGCCGTCACCAGAAGGTATACAGGAACACAACAGCATGCGTCAAGATCTCGGGTGTATCCAATAACGGTGCGAGTTTACAATCACTCAATTCTAATTTCAGATTTCTTTGGTGGGGTGAAATGGGACGGAAGCAATAAAAATGGTGCAAATGTAAAGTCAATGATAATATAAGTTATACCTTGCAATCAGCTTTGTAGATGTTTTCTTATGTCACTTCAATCCACTCTATGGTTGAATCGTTTTCTACTGCGTGGATACCCTTTTCCATAAAACACAAAGCTTTTCTTGAAAACTTTGAGAGCAATGTTGAGGCAACATTCCTCCGTCAAACCCGCCGAACACGGCAGCGGTCCAAAAGAAGCACAGATCGAAGTAGAAACGACTACGGCATGTAGAATTTCAAATGGCTGTTGCGATCTTTCCTCCACCACTTCCTAACCAGATCGGACATGTTTGTGCTCCACCACATCACCACCCCAACTAGAAGAGACCTTCTAGTTGGGGTGAGGTAAATTATATCTATAGATATTCACGTAATGGGAAAGCCCATGACGTGAATATTTATAGATATAATGATGCCAAATGCCCCCGGTCCTGGCTAAGGGCACTCTTTCGATTTCAAGAAAACACACAAACAAGCAGAACGACACAGAGGTTTCAAGTGAAGACTCTTTCTAAAGTAACCTGACCCAAGAAGCGGAGCAATGGGGGACAACAAGCGGGTGACGGGAGGCAAGGCCGGCTATTGGGTTGCAAAAAAAGGGAAGGGAGAGCAAATGAGCCTGAAGTCGAGAACACGGAAGAGTGCATCTGGGAGTTGGACGATTCAAATTAGAAAGGAAGGAAATGTATGCTTGGTGGCAAAAAGACGAAATTCGGAAAATCGGTTGTGCCTAAGCCTGCGGACGTTTGGGGCGACAATCATCAAAAGTTGCCCTCCACCAATTGCTCCATTCGCCGGAAGAAAAAAATGAACGCTTTAGGGATGGATGCCGCTCTTCGTTACATCTGCGTGCGCTCTGGGAGATGTACCATACAAAGCGGGTACAATCGCAAACGTCCCCATGCTCCCAGTTGGCAAATCCACCTTGGCCAAGCAGGGTCACCCAAAACCTAATTGCTTCTTATTGTTTTAGGGGCGAAGCTCCTTAGGGTCTCCTTGACCGGCGTCCGGGCTCACATCGATTGCCATCCCATCTGTCTTCTTGAAAAAAGAAAAAATGTTTGCGCAGTCGACAGGATTCCGCCCTGTGCGGGGAGACCCCAATGGATTTCTAGTTCATCGCCTTAACCACTCGGCCACGACTGCTGGACGAGTAGGGGGCTCTGAGATGTGGTAATAACTCAAGAGCTGGGGATGTCATGGATGAAACGTCCCATGTAGCCGCTCAACGTGTATACAGGAGAGGGCGCTTCGGTCAAATGCGTATATAATCGCGTTAAACTTTGCATGCATTGGCTCAACGCTTATAGACGAGAGGGCGCTGTGGTCAAATGCTCAAATGCGTATATAACCACGTTCCATACCACACATTCCCTTTTTGACATGGATGAAAACGAACGAAAAGCTCGGCATGCTGCAGCTCAGAGTATCAGCACCACCAGAGCTTCACCCCAATCAACATCATTCACCGCGTAATGATGCGGTCTTTTTTTTTTTTTTTTGCATGCTTTAGACGGTTTTTGCAGCAGTTTTTGCTGTGCCCTTTTTGTATAAGGACTTTGGACTCTCTCATGAGTTGCGAAACGATTTGGTGGTCTTGTCTACAATCTTTTTGCACATAAATCTGAGAAGTAACTGTAACAACCTTACTCTTTACAGTTACTTCCAAAAAATGATAATGCTATTACAGTTACAAGTTATTTTCATTAAGCAGTAATGAGTCACAGTTACAAGTTACTGAAAAAAAGTAACTAGAGGCACCTGGATGTCCACGACTTCGAGAACAGGGGTGGTGGTGGTGGAGGAAGGCGGGGGGGGAATACATGTGCACAACATAGGGTTGACTGGATTTTCAGAGAGCGGGAGGGGGGGGGGGGGGGGGATCCAAAGACTCACAAGTCTCACTGGCATAAGCTACAAGGTGGGGTACCTGCCTTCATGAGCTGTGCCACCACCCTGGCATCTCGGTGGTAGAAGTCCACAGGAAAAGTCCTTTCCGGCGGCCGGCTGAATCCATAGCCTGGTGGATCCCAGGCCACTAGTGTGAACTGCTTCCTGTCCAATTTCTCTAGCTGGGGACTAAAGTCTGTCCGTGTAGATCCTAACAAAAGGGAGAAATGATTGTTTAAACTCCGAGCAACAGCAGCACAAAAATACCGTTTAGACAACTCGTACTGCAGAAAGTGTGTCAACTAAAGCTGACATTGTCCCTGAAATCACTGTAACGACAGCTCATTCTGGAGATAATTGGTGTCAGTGACAATAATTAGTAGCAATTTGCTGCAATTGCTAATTAGCTTTGCAATTGTACCAAATGTTTGCGAAGCAATTATTTGTGATGAAAGCTATCTACAAGAGGATGTGTTCACACCTCGAAATGGTTGCATACAAAAAGGAGAAGTTGGTTTGTAAATGGTTCATCTTTTGATAGCTGACTGACCGCTTTATTTTTCCAACACACACACACCGGCATGGGATTACATATAAATTGTGTAACTATTTTCTAAGAACAAGTTTTTGCTTCAACTGCTAGCACTGTATTTGCAGTTCTTACATCACAGACCATGTTCGTTTAACAGTTCCGTTTTCCCCGTAACAATTGTTTTCCCCCTTTTCTTTACTGAAGCTCACGCATATGGTAATTATTATTCAATTTCAGATGTGCGCCTAGGTTGCGTGCTTCCACGAAACGAACTGGATCGTACCAGTCGTCCGTAATTGAGTATTTCGACATAAATTTTCGACTCTGGGAAAATGCTCCTTCCTACTCGCCATTTGATAGTCTCCGAGTTCTTACCGATGGCTCCCGGCAGTAAAACGAGTACCTTGGGTCCGTTTCCGACTGTTTCAAAGTGTATACGGTAGCCTAGAACGTCCAGAAGCTTCCCTGGTGCTCTGCAAAAGCAGCCGACATGCAAAGTTCGGTCACTCTTTCAAGGTGAAATAGGAGCATTTTCTTTTAAACAGTCTTGAGGGAAAACGCGAGTTTGCTCTAAAGAGAGAGAGGCCAACGCTCCCTTACTTTTGTGCCATTTCTTTAGAAAAGCATCTAGCAGAAATGGAGGGAAGTGACTTTGGTGTAGAGAAAACACATTGCCGAAGGCTATGTGAAATCATCTTGCCGATGCCACACGCACAACCCCACCAAAAAGCAGCCAGCAGCGGACTGACTTACTGGATCGGATTGGATTACTTTTGGGCTGTGTATTGGCCAACCACGGCCAACCAAGCCGAAAATAATCCCCAAACCAGAGACAGTTCCAAAAAGAGCATGAAGGTTAAATATAGAAACACATCATGGTTAAAATCACTGATCACACAGAGATATGAGGTTGAAATAGGGTGCACGTGATGTTTTTTTTATGATCACCAAATGATCACTGATTTTTATAAGAATTGCTGGATCGCGCATCCCCGCTCAGGCTCTGTCCCCGCTTCCCCGCTTGGTCGCTGTAACGCAAGCACTGATCTCTATTGTAGTAGGCTGGATCGTGGATCGCGGCCTCGGCGGCCTCGGCAGCTGGGGCCGAGTGTCGCCACCACTGATCTCTATTGTAGTAGGCTGGATCGCGGATCGGGAGCCCGTCGGTGTCGCCACCGGCAGCCATTGCTTGACACCAGGGAATACACGCAAGTCTATGGGAGAAACGCACAAAAGGAAGAATATTGAAGCATGTACGCTGTGCTCGGAGGCGAGTATTTTATGGTGTGCTGCGGACCTTATGTCAGATGTTTTGAGATCGAATCAGTATTTGTCAAACGTTCGGTCGCCGACCAAAAAAATCAAACGTACCGGAGCACCTACGGCTGAGCCGGCAGGCTTGCGATCGTAGTGGAGTAAACAAAGGAAGTAGCCGTCAATGAGACCGTCCTCAGGAAGCCCAGAAGTTGATGAATGACAAAGAAGTTCCATCTCGACAGCGGCTTTCCGGGAGTGAGCGAATTCCGCGTAGCAAAGCCTTCAAGCTTGTCGTCTGCTAAACCCAACTCAACGAAACCGCCACCGACTCCGCGGTAATTCTAGGTAACTCTCGCCTCATTGAGCTGCACTACAGAGGAGTCACTCTCGACCACAAAATATTTATTTATGAGATCTGCGAGGGCTATCAGTTTTAATGTTTGCAAGCAAGCTATTTGACGGGCTTATCGAAAAGCATCCACAAAGTTTTAGTGCCGGCAACAGCTTAGAAACGGGGTGGTGGTGAATACGTTTATTTAAAGAGAAAAAAAAAAAAAATATATATCTCTGGAGACTCGAAGTTTTCATGACGCGGTGGCCTCAAGGCTTGGCATCGTCTCCTCGGTTAAAGGTGTTAGATGGAGTTTCCCAGGTCTCCCTCAGAAATATATTCTAAGAGAGATCTGAGGATCCTGAGGCCGGATTCTCAAAGCGAACTTACGACGAAAAAAATGCGTACGACAAATTTGAGAGAAAATCCGTATTCTCGAAACGAAATTGTCGTAACTTTTGCGCAGGTTACGACAAAATCCTACGACAGCTCCGAAGCTGTCTTACGCACTTTCTACGATCAAATGAACATGGCCGACAACGTCGCTTAGTTGCGACGACCCAACGGACATTTATTGTTCTACCTGCTCTTCTTGCGCGTCCCGACTTCAAGCAGCAAGAAAAAAATGAAGTACTTGAAACCGACCACGACGAACATGAACGCTGGATCCACAGACACCCGGAAAAGGCAACAAAGGCGACGATCCCACCGACCAAGCGAGCTCGGCAGAATATATAGGCCTAGCAGGCACTCCGACCCGTTCCAGCGCAGCATTACTCAGACGGTCCTTGGCCAAGACCGTCTGCCCACGACCGGCTGGCTTGCTGAATGGAATATGCCCGCGCGACCCTTGTGGACCCTCCCCGTGTGAATAGTTTGATAACTGAACTAAATTTCAGAGATCAACCGATTCCCCTTATCATCTCGATCACCTTGTTTTCCGAGGCAGCGGTGACGAACGCTGTCGTCGAAAAGGGACTCCTCGATTCTATCTCCTTGTTTTGTGTGATATAGAGCTCAAATAAACGCCGTATGGATTACCTTCGCAACACGGTATGTACATTTTGTTATTAGTATGCCATTTTTAACTGTCGAGCTGTATCAGTTTGTGGGAGCTACGTGATGCCGGTCCAACCTTTCTTTGCCGAGTGTCACGTCAGTATCGAGTTGCAATCGTAGAAGATCGGTCCCGAAGCACTTACCGAAGCGCAGTCTGAATCCAGCACTTCGATCAAACGCACGCGTCCGCTCCGAGTGTGAACAGGTATTTGCGTGACTCTTGCTGACACTCTCGTAGTTCAAACGTATCTTTTTTAACGTCGGCTCACTCCTGCATTTCCGAGGCCGCGAGAAACGCCGCGGCGGTTTGTTTCCTTCTACGTCGCTTTGCAAACGACTGGCACGGGGCTTTTACCAACGATGACAGTTGTGTTGACTTCGTAGCGATCGAGTTTGTAGCAGTCAACGAAGCGTTTAAATCGTGTTAGCGTCGATATACCACTGCACGGACACGAACCCCAGACAAGCGGTGGTGGAAAGGTCGCCCGTGTTTATGAGAATCAGCTTGAACACTACACATCTACACACAGATAGGACAGGACATACACAGAGCTGTCTATCAACGAGTGGTTAGCCTGTGTTTGTTATTAAAAATCCACGTGCTCCGAACTATGCCTAGCTTTCTAATTGGTTGTCCGTTTTGCCGAAAACGCCGTTGCCATAGCAACAGCACCGGAAGTCATCGTTTCTCCGAAAGAGGTCGTAACTTTCCTCCTCTCACTTAAGAACGCGTTTGTGAATACCGTTCTCGCCTCATCTTACGATGATCGTAACTTTACGAACTTCGTAGCTAAGTTGTCGTAGGTAAGAGGTTTTTTATGAATCTGGTTTCAGAGGCCAGATTCACGAAACGATCTTACGCCAAAAATGTGCGTAAGACAAAACTTAAGAACAAATCCGTATTCACGAAACGAAATTTTCGTAAGTTTTGCGCAGGTTACGACGAAATCCTACGACAGCTCCGAAGCTGTCTTACGCACTTCTTACGACCAAATCAGCATGGCCGACAGCGTCGCTCAGTTAATCGCGACAACCAACGGATGTTTATTTTTCTACGTGCGCTTCTCACGCGTCCCGACTTCAAGCAGCAAGAAACAAGTAAAAAGTACTTGAAACAGACCACGACGAACGAACAAGAACGCTGGATCCACAGACACCCGGGAAAAACTCCAAGGGCCACGAGTACGGACTCCGACCGATCGGCCGATAGGCCTAGCAGGCACTCCGACTCGGCGCAGCGATGATCTGACGGTCCTTGGCGAAGACCATCTGCCCACGACCGGCTGGCGTGCTGAATGGAATATGCCCGCGCGACCCTTGTGAACCCTTCCCGTATTATAGTTTCATCGCTGACCTCAATTCTAGATTAAGAGGTCAATCTCTTCCTCTTGTCATCTCCTTGTTCTCCGAGGCAACGGTGACGAACGCTGTCGTCGAAAAGGGGCTCTCATCGATTCTATCTGTTTTGTGTGATATCAAGCTCAAATAAACGCCGTATGGATTACCTTCGCAACATGGTATGTACACTTTGTTGATAGTATTCCATTTTATTCTGACACGACTGCACCTCACTGTCGATCGCTGTAACAGTTCGTGGGTCGCAATGCCGGTCCAACCTTTCTTCGCCGGGTGTCACGTCAGCATCGAGTTGCAATTGTAAAGGATCGGTCCCAAAGCGCTTATCAATCCGCGGTCCAACAGCGCAAATCCAGCACTTCGGTCAAACGCGCGCGTCCGCTCCGTAGTGTAAACAAGCATTTACGTGGCTCTCTCTTACACTGTCGTAGTTCAAACGTATCTTTTTTAACGTCGGCTCGCTCCTGCATCTCCAAGGCCGCAAAAAACGCCGCGGCAATTTGTTCCCATCTACGTCGCTTTGCAAACGACTGCGGGCCGTCTTTTACCAACGATGACAGTTGTGTGGACTTGGTAGCGATCGAGTTCGTAGCAGTCAATGGGGGTGGTTACGCATCTCGGCCTCGACATTCGGGCGAGTTTAAATCGTGTTAACGTCGACATATCACTGCACGGATACGAACCCCAGACCAGCGGTGGCAGAAAGGCCGCCTGTGTTTGTTATGAAAAATCCACGTGCTCCGAACGGCTCCGAACGGCTCCGAACAAATGCCGAGCTCTCCGATTGGCTGTTCGTGCTGCCGAAGACGCCGTCGCCATAGCAACAGCACCGGTAAGTTTTAGTTTCTCCGTACGACAACGTCGCTTTCCTCCTCTCACTTAAGAACGCGTTCGTGAATACCGATTTCTCCTCTTCTTACGATGTTCTTAACTTACGAACTTCTTAGCTAAGTTGTCGTAAACTAAGAAGCTCTTCGTGAATCTGGCCTCAGGTCTTGCGTGAGGTGTCGCCCGCTGGGTGCGTCCAGTCCTGCAGTTTTGAAGGTCTTTCGTCATTCGCCATCTTACTGAAGATGAGTGTTCTGAGGGTGGAGAGGGCCACACATTCCCAGAGTATGTGTTTAAGTCTGGGAATGGATTCCTCGGCTTGACACCGCTGGCATCTGGGGTCGGGAGGGACAGCGTAGGGTTGTTGTTTCTTAAGTCTTGCCAGGTCCATTTGGTATCTGAACCTGGGTGTGACTGCTCCTCCTGTGCGTATGCGGCGGAGGATCACCGATTCTTTTCTCTTGAATTCTTCCCTAGGGAGAGGATGTTGTTCTGGGGTCCATGATCTTGCCAGAAGATGTTTTCGTGTCTTCTGGGCTAACCTGAGTTCCTCCCTTGGATCGTATGGGGGAAGCTCAGAGTCTTGTTGCTGTGGTGTTGAGCCTGCCGTGGAGGACTGAGACAACAGGGACGGCTGTGTGAGATTCCTCATCGCCTGCTGTGCAGCCTCATGGGCTAGCTCGTTGCCCGAAATGCCTTCGTGCCCGGGAGTCCACTTGACATTAATTTGAATTTTCTTGGATCTGTATAGTGAGATTGCGAAGGCGAAGATAGCGTCAATGGTGGGGCTAGAAGAGGACCTGTATTTCTTGAGTTCTCTGATGGTGTCTTGCGAGTCGGTATAGACGATTAGCTGTTGTTCGTCTTGTAGATGGGGTACTGCCCCTCGGATGGCTTGCAACACCGCCTCCCGTTCGGCGAAGCCCGGCGTGTGGTGGCCTCGAGGGTTACCTTGAGTCTCTGTCCAGGTCGCATTCCCTTGGATGTATGTGGCTGCTGTTGCCCAACCCATAGAGGAGATGCTGGCGTCCACATAAACGATCATGTTTTTTTCGTCCTCAACAAGCTTAGCCAGCTCCTTCTTGTGCATGCGAGCGTAGTGTTCTCGTCTTTTCTTGTGTCGCGCAGCGTCCATGTTTCTTGGGAGAGGTTTGCACCCATGAGTTACGTCAATGAGTTCCCACGGTGCTTTGCTCGGCGATATGGGGGCCTCTTCTTGTATCTCGATTCCCATGTACTTAGCAATTTTTCTTCCCTCGGTTGTATGTTGTAGACGGGATAGCTGAGCCTCCTTCTGTTGGTTCATAAGGTCTGTGAGTTCTGGGAGGAAGATGCACTTGCTTACTTCCTCTGCCGAAGTGTGGCGTGGGAGCCCAAGGATGGCTTTTCTTGCTCCGTTGATCATGCTTTTAAATCTGGAAAGATGGGTTTTCGTGAGCCGGTAGAATCTCGCCGCATAGGCTATTTTGGATACTAGCACTGCAGTCACGAGTTTTTTGGCTGTTTTTTCCCCAGCTCCTCCCATTTTCGTGGATATTCTTCGGACGAGATTGATACCTTGTTTCCATTTCTTGGAGATCTCGGCCAGCCAAGCTTTGCTTATTCTTGGCTTGTACCCAAAGTTAATTCCAAGGATTTTAACGGAGTCTGCTTTTTGGACTGGGTCTCCCGCAAAGGTAAGACCTAGCTTTTTGTTGTCTTGATTGCGGCCGTAGATGGTATATTTAGTTTTTTCTGGCGACGGGAACATTCCCACATCAGCAAGATATTCTTCAATGGTGTCGAGTCCCTTCTGCAAGGCGACAACTTGGGCTTCAGGAGGCCCTTGATGCGTCCAGATCGTGATATCATCTGCGTAAATCGTCGCCCTGAGGTTGGGTATTTTATAAAGTTTCCAGAGGAGTGGTGCCATAACGATGTTGAAAAGTGTAGGTGACAACACTGCGCCCTGAGGAACTCCAATGTTATTTTCTTGAAGGGTTCCTTCTCCACACTCTTTGTCATATCCAGCTCGGATTTTGTAGACCCGTCCCGAGAGAAATGATTTCACAAAGTCTAGTTGTTTACCCGTGAGGTCTTGCTGCTCCATCTTGCCAATGACTGATTGATGGGGGACAGAATCGAAAGCCTTCTTTATATCGATAGATACAATCACTCGCATTTGTTTTTTTCCTGGGTGCATGTCCACGACGTCTGTGTATATCATCTGCAGACTGTCCTGTATGCACAAGTTCGGTCTAAATCCGGTTTGCGTTGGATGAAAGATGCCGAGGGTTTCAGCGTTGTGCTGAATCCGTGCGAGTACCATTCTTTCCATAAGTTTTCCCATGATTGAGGTCAAGGAAATAGGTCGGACGTTTTTGGGGTCAGTTGCTGGCTTCCCTGGTTTTGGTATTGGTGTGACCAGGGACACCTTCCATTCTTCGGGAAGTTGCCCGCTTTCCCAGATGTCGTTAAACCATTTGAGGATAACAAGACGGGTGGCCAGGGGTGCGTTTCTGAGCATGGGCACTGTAATTCCGTCTTCTCCAGGTGCACTCTTGCTTCTGCACTGTTGTATCGCCGCTCCGAGTTCCCACTCTGTGAGGGGGAAGTCTTCCGGCTTGTGTGCAGGTCCCGAATGGGTTGGGTGGTAAATGATTTCCTCCGGTTTCGTTGGGGGTTGTGGAAAGAAGATGTCTCCCAATTTGTTGAGAATTTCTTCAGTTTTTTCATTGGAGAGGAGTGCGATGACCGGGACAGGGCTGACTCCTTTCTTTTTTCCTGACATGGAGTTGAATGTCTTCCACACGTCTCTAAGGTTGGTTTTCTCGTCGAAGGACTCGCAATACCCTAGCCATCTGTCGATGGATAATTTGTTTGCGTATTTGCTTGCTTCTTCCGTTAAACGGTTGACCTTGTCTAGGTGTTTTTTCTCTTTCCCTTGTCGGTACTTTTCTAAGGCTCTGGTCCTTTTGTCCCATAATGCGAGGAGATGGTAGTCTGGTTCTGGCGTGTCTTCATAGACTTGCCTTACTTCTGTGGCAATCTTTGTAGCTGTTGCGAGTAGTGCGGTGATTTGACATGGTTCCAAGACATCTCCTTGTTCTTTGAGGTTTTGCCTATATTTGTCCCAGATTATTGTTCTCGTTGGCCTTTTTTGCTTAAGATTATTGCCTCCAATGGCGACGTCCATAATGATGGGGAAGTGGTCGCTGCCCCAAGCGTCCTGCGTCATATCCCAGGTTATCTTGCGAGCTGTTGTCGGTGTGGCCAGGGTGACGTCGATTATGGTGTCTAACTGACAGCTAGTTAGAGAGTGTCTCGTTGGTCTAGTAACATCGTTGATGAGTTCGAGACCTCCGGCTTCTATTGCTTCCATAAGTTCTTTGGTCCTGCGGTTTTGCTGTAGATTAGCCCAGTCCTCGATTCTGGCATTGAGATCCCCTCCCATGATGAGGTAGTCGTCTGGATATTGATCCTTGAGATAATTAAGCCATGAGTGATCATATGGTTTCGAGGGACAGGCGTATGCAGATGCAATCGTTAGTCTTCTTTGAGTGGTCTGGAGTGCGACTCGTACTGCTACCACCTCTTGGTAGTCAGTGCACCAGTTGTCTGTATTTATGACAATGAAGGCTAACTTTCGACTGATAAACACATTAACCTGAGCCTTCACCTCCTTTTCCCCATCATTGTTACGTCGCCCCGCAGGAACGGCGCGTTTTATTGCTGGGTTTGCTATCTTGTGGTAGCCAGAGAGGTCAATTTCATCAGTGCGTGTTTCTTGCAAGAGTAATATGTCGAACTTGTAGTCCTCAATTCTCTTAAGTAGTTCGGCTTTCCTTCTTGAGAGGCTGCGACAGTTCCATTGTAGAACTCTCAGAGGTGCTTCTTTTGTTCTTTTAGTGGGCATGTTGGGGTAGTGTCGTATTCATCCCTAGCTTCTGCATTACGAATTGTTGAAACTGCTGTGTTTCTCGCATCTGCTGTTGCATCAGCTGTATCTGTCGGAGGACGGTTTCCCAATCGCTTGGGCTTGCGTTCTGTGTAGGGGTAAGTTGAGGTTGGGGTTCCTCTTCTGTTGTTGGTACGCTGCAGACAATCTCCTGCCTGGAGGTGTCGCGTTCTTGTTCTTTCTTTTCGCGGGCTGCCTTGCGCGCTTCCATAGTTTCCTGAATGCGTTTTGTTATGACTGCCTTTCTAGCTTCCCTCTTTTTATTGTCTTCTTCTTCTTTCCTTTTGTACTTGGCAAGTTCCGCTTCAAGTTGAAGAATCATGGACTTGCCTGATTTGGCCTCTGCTTCAATGGCTCGGATTTCCTCTTGCCATGATTTTAGTTCGTCGTTTTCATCTCTGTGGTATCCCTTCTTGTTTCGGTGGTGTAGGGCATGTGCGTAGTCGCCAGGCCTCCTGCTGCTACTACGGCGGTGCACTGAAGTCGACCGATTGTGAGACACCTTCTTTGGTTTGCGCGAGAGGCTTCTTGATGTTTCTCGAGCCGACGGCTGCTGCGATGCGCGGCTCGCGCTCCTGCTTCTTCCTCTGCCTGGAGTAGAATTTGGGAGTTCAGGGTATTCTGTTATTGTGACTTCCGGGGGTCGACTCTCAGCTGTGGCTCCGCCTTTTACTCCTGTCCCCTGGCTGCCATTGCTTTTCATTCCTATGGCTTTAGCTTGAAGTAGCTTGTTGGCTTTCAGGCGTGCCGGGCAGTTGGGATCTGTTGCTATGTGGGCGGACGAGCGGCAGTTGGCACAGTACTTGCGTTCGCATACGTGTCTTTCGAGGGTAATGCACCCGCAGTCTTGACACCTTGCTTTTCGCGTGCACACATTTTCTTTGTGTCCCAGGCCTTGGCATCTTCGGCACACCATGGTCATCGGTATGTAAAGAGTTACTCTTTTAACCATCCCATGATAGAGAACTTGCCGTGGTGGCCTTGTCCCAGAGAAGGTGACGAGCGCTAAACCTCGACTTCCAAGAGGTCTTGCGTGCAAAACTTCGTGTGTTCTGCAGACGATTGTTTCAATAAGTTCTTGCGGTGATTCCGTCGGGTCGGTCTCGTGGACCACACCTCGGCAAGTATTTTCGAGCATCGTTTCGTGTGCCACCACCTCCACAGTCTTGTCGGGGGCTCTGATGGACGTTATTGCCAGTAGCGGTGCCACAAGTTTTCTGTCGTATACTTTGACGGATATTGTATTCGCCGCCTTATTGGAGCGAATCGATGGTCTTTGTGATGGCGTGCATGTTTTGGGATTTAAGCCTAGCTTCGGGTAGAAATTTCTTTCTACCACAGCTGCCGGTATTCCCGCTAGATCGTAAGGTTCCTTCGAGCGATATACAACGTTGAAAGAATCTTTTTTTTGCTTCAGTTGAGGGTTAGCTGCCGCGGCTTCTAGAAAACTTGAGAGATTTCTACTCGCCTCTTGTTTCTTGCGCCTACCGTAGACCACAGTCTGCCAGTTTATGGGATGCTCGGCGTCGTTGGTTTCTTCTTCGGCTCTTGAATTGCCGGTGTCCATGATGTTGTCGGTCCTTAGTTCCGAACATGCAGACTGATTCGTGCAAATGCTGCTCGTGCTGGGTCGTCTCGATCTCTTCGAGGCGGTGTCTTCTTGGTCGTCAGCTGCCGGTGTGGTGTCCGCTGCACGTCGGCGGTTCTGTTTAACCGTCGGCTCACTCTGCAATGCCGGTTTCATGTACCGGTGTTCGGCGAAAATCACCGATACTTCTTCGTTAGCGTCAGGAATGTTGTGTACGATTCCTTGGTCAGGGTAGGCTTCGGGAAGTTGAACGAGTACAGTTTGGGTCGGCGCCGAGGCCGCGGGGCTCGGTGAGGCCATGCCGCCAATGCCGCGCCAAGCCCGTCCCTAGGCTTAGCTTTCAGCTCGCTTGCCGTTCTCAAAAGGGGGTCGAAAACACGAAAAAAATCCGTCCTCTCTGTGAGAGTACTCACTTGGCTTGTTCCTTGGGTGGTTAGGAACATCAAGAAATCATTCCCGTGTCAAAATGATCCGTTGGCATGTAAAAAAAAATGAGCGTGCGTTCGTCGTGTGCGCGCGAAGCGCAGCCTAACAACAAGAGGCGCTCGCCCCTTAGAAACGGGGGAAATGGCACTTTTTCTCGTTCTTCCCATAGAGTCCCATGCATTGGCTGGTGTCAATCAATGGCCGCCGGTGGCGACACTCGGCCCCAGCTGCCGAGGCCGCGGTCCGCGATCCAGCCTACTACAATAGAGATCAGTGGTCGCCACCGGCGGCCATTGATTGACACCAGCCAATGCGTGGAGCTCTATGGGAAGAACGAGAAAAAGTGACGCTTTCCCCTGTTTCTAAGCTGTTCTCGGCACTGAAACTTTTTGGATGCTTTTCGATAAGCCCGCCAAATGCGGAGGGCAAGTTCGTCTGCACCTTGCGCAGGGGGTAGCGGTGACGTCAGAACGCCGAGCCCTGATTGGCTGATAGAGCCCCCCTATCTGAGCGTCGTCTGCTTCTTTGCAACGTCGTCTGCTCGCAACGTCGTCTGCGTCTGTCTTACCTTTCCTGCGACTTTCGGGAGTGCAGAGGCCAGATTCACGAAACGATCTTACGCCAAAAATGTGCGTAAGACAAAACTTCAGAACAAATTCGTATTCACGAAACGAAATTTTCGTAAGTTTTGCGCAGGTTACGGCGAAATCCTACGACAGCTCCGAAGCTGTTATGCACTTCTTACGATCAAGTCAGCATGGCCGACAGCGTCGCGGTCGCGACGACCCACGGACGTTTATTTTTCTACGTGAGCTTCTCACGCGTCCTGACTTCAAGCAGCAAAAAAAAAGTAAAAATTATTTGAAACAGAGCACGACGAACAAGAACGCTGGATCCACAGACACCGGGGAAAAGCTCCAACGGCGACGATTCCACCGAACGCGACCAAACGAGCTGGGCAGTTAGGCCTAGCAGTCACTCCGCGACTCGGCGACCGTCTGCCCACGACCGGCTGACGTGCTGAATGGAATATGCCCGCGCGACCCTTGTGAACCCTTCCCGTGTTATACTTTGATCGCTGACCTCAATTTTAGATTAAGAGGTCAATTTCTTCCTCTTGTTATCTCCTTGTTTCCCGAGGCAACGGTGACTCTCGCCGGTGAAAAAGCGGCGAATCTCCGAGAGACGCAGAAAAGGTAAAGCAGCCATCGCTTTGACTAGCAGACGTAAAGCAGACGACGTTAACTGCGCCAACCCGCCGGCGCCGTTAAAGAGTGAGGGGTCTCGCCGCACACGAATGGAGGTAAAAAGTATTTGGGAGGGAACTTGCGGACACAAAGCAAACAAACCTCGGCGCCCCGGGACACCTCGCCAGTGAGTCCTTTGACTTCCCTCCTTGATGCGCGTCTGCTAGTTGTTAGACGAAAACAACGTACCGCTCGAGTTATTTCGTCTCGAGTTCGCTCCGAAAGTCGCAGGAAAGGTAAGACAGACGCAGACGATGTTGCGAGCAGACGACGTTGCAAAGGAGCAGACGACGCTCAGATAGGGGGTCGCGATCAGCCAATCAGGACTCGGCGTTCTGACGTCACCGCTACTTCCTTTCTCATGCGCAGAAGACGAAAATGAGCCCACTTGCGAGGCGTATAGCTTGCTTACAAACATTAAAACTGACAGCCAACGTTACTAAAACACTCAGTTGGGAAACTCCCATAGAGACAGCCCTAAAAATATGGCCCCAATCTGTCTCCGAGCACCGAGCTAATGACGAACACAACGCCACCATTTCTCCCGCAGCGGCCACTCGAGAAACTGCACGTGACTTCTATTTTTTTGGCTTTGACAGGGTGAACCCCCGTCTCCACGGGGACGCGCCGCGTTGAACTACTGAAGTTAAAATGCACCTAGGTCGGGACGCGCTACCTGAAAGGCCCGCTGAGGCATGGTTTTATAAAAACAATATTAATTGTTCCGTAAAACCTTGCGAACTAAAGATGATAAAAACATCATGCGCCCATCATTTGGTACTAAACTCCAATAAATTTCATACAAAAAGAGTCTTCCGTTTGTTTTTACGCAAAAAACAGGCTTTCAAAAAGCTCAAGGTGACCACAGTACAGACAAATGATAAAGAGTGGCGCTGTTGTCGCATTTAGCTCGGTCTCGGTGGACGCCAGCGGCCCAGGTTTCGACGGCGAGTTTCCCAACTGAGTGTTTAATAGCATCTTCGATCAACTCGCACCGGAATCGCCCTGAAACCAGCACAGTGCACAGCGCTCCTCGGTCGTGCAGCGCGATGTCGGTGCAACATCTAGGACAAACTGCGCCGCGAGCTCCACTGGCTCCACCTTGCGTCACTTCGCGTTTTGTTCGTTTTTTCCTGCGTAGGTCAGCGCACGGTGCCCGTCTGCTGTCAATTTCTCCTATTTTTTTACTCGCGGATTTGACGGTCCCACAGAAATAAACATCGTGGACGTCATTGTCGATGGGGTCACGATCGAAGCGGGTGACAATTCCACATGTATATGTTGGCCATCATTATTAGTTCAAGAAAACGAAAAACCTCGCTGTCATCGAAACGCCTCGCGCCGCTTTCCACGAAGTTCGTGCTTTTTGGGCGCTCCTTGCCACCGCAGCAATCGCCAGTAATCGCAGCGATGGTGAGAAGCTCGTCGTCTCGCCGTCAGAAGACCCGAGGAAATCATCTAGTGCAACTGCGAGGCGTGTTCGTTTTTGCAAGATCGCCATCTCGATAGTCTGCGCGTCTGCTACTCCCGCCATCTTCTCGATTCCCGCTCCTGGCCGCAAGGCCTGATGGGACTGCCCCCCGGCGCACCGCCGATTTTCTTGGTGCGCGTTGGGGCAACGAAAAGCCGCACCGGGGGGGTGCGCTTCGTTGATCGAGGACGTCCGGTGCGCACCGGTGCACTTGATCGAAGATGAAGGGGCGCACCTCAGTGCCCCGGTGCGCACCGGTGCGGATGATCGAGGATGCTATTAGTAACGTTGCCTGGTGTCAAGCAATGGCCGCCGGTGGAAAAACCGAAGTGGCAGTGCGGCAACACT